TTCTCTAAGACTGGGAGCTCCCAGGGAACAGAATCTGGTCTCTCCCCTCCTACCCGGAGCTCCCTCTTGGCAGGGGACCTTTCAAGCTCTGTCTTAGCCCCGAGACTCACCGCCCCTCCAGCACGCACAGGGATAGTTACCATTCCCACCCCGCTTTGCTCTTCTGGGCACTTCCCACCCCAACGTGGCAAATCCAAACCCACGGTGGTATTCGGGAGAGGGTGGCAGAACTGGCAAAGCTTTGAGACAGCCAAGGACCACTGAGGTCTGTTACCGTCCCTGCTGTCCCACAGCAGCTCTATCTCCGTAAGGGCAGGGTGGCGGGGTTTAGGGGGAGGTGTGACCTGGCAGGGCGGGCTGGTTGCCCAGGGCTTCACATCTAAAGACACACAAACCATCAAGCGTGCAGGCACTCGAGTCCCTCGGGTGACCGTGGAGAAGCCCCTGAATTCTAGCTGAGGGTCCTGGCTTGTTCACACGTGGGGCTCAGGCAGAGGCCGAGCAAGAACCCGCACCCAGCCCCTGGACTCCCAGCCCCGTGTTCTTACCTCTGCATCAGAATGATCCTCCGAGGGGTGCCTGGGCGGCTCAGTGGGTTAAAGCTTCTGCCTTTGGCTCAGGTCATGATCTCAGGGTCCTGGGATCGAGCCCCGAATCAGGCTCTCTGCTCAGCAGGGAGCCTTCTTCCCTCTCTCTCTCTGCCTGCCTCTCTGCCTACTTGTGTGCCTACTTGTGCCTACTCTGTCTGTCAAATAAATTAAAAAAAAAAAAGAAAAGAAAAAAGAATGATCCTCCGAACTCCAGGTCCCCGAGTGGGGGGTGCTGTGTGGCAGTGGAAAGATCTGGAACTTGAAGCCCTGTGCTCTGGGTTTGAATCCTGATGCTGTCTGCTATTTATTTGTTCTGTGTCATGAGAAAAGTGGTGGAATCCTCTCAGTAGGAGGGGTCATGGTCCCACTAACTGGCAAAGAGGCCACCGTGCTCTTCTGTTCCGTCTGTCCCCACACACTACCCATGATCTGTGCCTTCAGTGGTGGCCCCACAGGCTGCCCCCATCCCTGAGCACATGAAATCTCGAGAGACCCCTCTGTATGCCTCTCTCAACCTCCAAATCTGTTTAACCTCATCCCCCTCCAACCGCCAATGGTGCTTAAGGATGCAGCAGGAAGAGGGTATCTTTGTAGCTGCCCGCTGGGTCACTTCCGAGCTGGAGACCATCGACGAGTTACTTGCCCTCTCTGTGTTCCTACATCTTTAACGTGGCAGTAATAATTCCTACCTCTCTAGACTCTTGTTAGCGATACAGGTGTTGAAACAGTGGGGCCTTGTGAGGGAGGTCAGTGGACACTGCCTAGCAGGGGTGATTTACATGTTTGTCCAAATGGGGAAATGAGGGCCCAGAGCTGGTGGTAGGCTGGCTGAAGGTCACACAGCAAATGTACTGTCAGACTCCGGGAGTCCTTGCTGACCTGTCCTAGGAAGTATCCTCCCTTCAAGTGAGGGTTTCCTTTCCCTGGCCCATTTGTTGCATTTTCAGCCATCTCAGTTTGGCTTCAAGAAGCCTTCTCTTCAGGGGAGCAGCGTGCCTGGCACTTAGTAGGCACCTATGAAGACTTGCTGAAGACAGGCATGGAGGCACATGCAGGGCAGGTGTGGACGGGTTCCTGGCAGGGGAGAGGGTGGTGGGCAGGGAGTTGAGCACCAGGGTGGGCAAAGGCTCGAGGTGCTTTTTCCATCCCTCCAGCTCTGCCTTTGCCAGGCCTGGCTGTCTGAGAAATCTCATTTTGCTAGCAAGCTGATTCATGGGCCTGGGGTCCTAGTGCTCCCTGAGCAGCTCTCTGTCAATAACTATTCTTTACAAGGTCCCTCGATTCGTTTTCGGGGTTGAAGACAAATTTTTAAAGAGGAGTTCAGTGCTAGGGCCATTCCAGAGGGGCTGTTAACTTAATGTCCTGCCTCATTCCCTCCAAGCCTGCTCCCTCTTGAACTACACGAGGGTCAGGACTTGCCATTTCCAGCAATTGCTTCTGAGTTCTCGCATTTGGACGAGGGGTGGGGAGTGAGGAATGGAGAGGAAGGGGCACGGATTACAGGACAAGGTGGCAGGCCAGGCTCTGACTCCGTTATGAAGTTCTCCGGGTGACTTGGGCCAATGGTCCCCTTCTTTGGGGTCCCCCATGTGTGAAAGTGTGGAGGCTGACAGACACCATCATGGCGGTGCCCCCTTGGTTTCTAGGAGTGACCTGGTCTCTGTAGTTCATTTGGGCAGGAGGTCTCTGTTGAGCAGTGGCTCATGTCCCCTCCCCCTCATCCCAATGCGGGACCAAGGAGTTGGCAATTCCACATCCAAATACCACGGTGTCCACCCAGCTCTGCTCCTGCTGCCTTGGTTCTTGTCCCTTCTGCTGCAGCATCCTCCGAACTGGTTCTCCTGCCCCCCCGCCCCGAATTTTCCTCCAGTCACCGGGTCAGAGGGAAGTAGCCCAAACCTCAAGTCTGAGCCTGACACCCCCACCCCTGCCCCGTCCATGCTGAACTCAGCACACTGCCTCTGGCTTCTGCAACTTTGCATGTGTATTTCGTGCTTCTTTTACCACTGGGGACTCCTATTCCAGAAATATGTACATAGAAAAATAAAGGAAACATGTGCAGAGATATGGCAAAAAAAAAAAAAAAAAAAGCATGGGCATGGGGTGTGCGGCCTTCGGGCCTTTATGCCCACTGGCTTCCCCTCCCAGAATGCCCTTGGCTCCATCCTTAGCAAAATCAGTTTGAGAATGTCTCCTCCCACCTCCTTTGTGTCCCACCAACCAGGGTTAAAACATCACACATGGCATCAATCATTCCAGATAACCGTGGACAGCTGATTTGTCCATCTTCTCAGCAGGGCTGGGGCTCCTAGGGGACAGGCCCCTGGTTTTGCCTCCATGCTCCCCGACAGGGCCTGGTGCACAGTAGGAGCCTAATGTGTTGAGTAGACCAACGGATCTTGAACATGAAGGCCCCAGAAACTCCCTTTGCTGAGAACCTCTAGGAGGATGGTCTGTGCTGGGAGCTTCAGTCCGCACAGCAACCCGAGGGCTGCCGTGATCCGTTGAGCAGATGACTGTGGAAGGCAGGCTTCCTTCCATGCTGGGCAGCAGCACGTTGGGGCAGGTACCAGTGCAGCCCTAGTCCTGTCCCTGGTACCTTGAGGCACAGATTTTGGTGGCTGTAGCCACCTGGCTGGGCCCCTGGAGGCTGGCCTGGCAGCCTGCTCGGCTCTTGCCTCTGGCCAGGCCTCCTGTCTCCACCCCCATCTCCACCCACCCCAAGGCTGCTGCCCGTTCTGGGGAGTGGCAACCCAGGGCTGTGGAGGCCCTGTGCAAACACACAGGCCAGATGTGCCCAGGGGCTGTGGACTAGCCCTTGCTAGTCCTCCTGAGAGGGAGAGGCGCACCCAGCCGCGTTTTCTCTCTCCTGCCTGGCTCTCTGCCATAGAGACCCCCCCCCCCCCGCCCCGCAGGCTTTCCTCCGTGGAGAGGGGACGCCTCCCTCAGTGTGATAGTAACAGGCAGGGACCTGCTGGGGGGGGGGGGGGCTGAAGGTGGAAAGGAATCCAGACACCAATCATTTTTCACCTCCTCACCCAACCCCAGCCTTTTCTCTGGAGGCCCTGAGGCTTGCCCCACCTTCCCAGATCATTGAGGGCAACACCTAGAGGAGGTACCTCTTTGTAGGGGAACTTTCTGGGTCAGCACGTCCTCAGCCTCAGGGTCCGAACGGATGTGAATGTCGGAGCGGCAGCAGGCCTGTGGCCCGGCTCAGCCGTGTTTTGATCTCAGGCCATTTAGTGTGTCCACAGTGTGCGTGTGCGTGTGCGTGTGCATGTGCACGCATGCACCGGGGCGAGACACAGAGCCAGCCACTATGCACTTTCTCTTCTCCAGGAGCTGCTGCTCCGGTCCAGTCTGGTCACCCCCATTTATTTAAGAAAATCAGACACAGTGGTGGGTAGAACCCAAGAGAGAAGTGGCTGTGGGCTGGGAGGGGTGGGGAGACGCCTGGCTCCCTGCTGCCTTGGCCTGTCCCAAGGTCCTCCACAGCATGTCCCCTGGTACCCTCTCCCCCTCCCACCAGATTCTGCTTCCTGGGGGGAGGGTGGCTGGCTGCCCCTGCGGAGAGGAAGGCATGGTCAGCAGAGCAGGAGGGGTGGGGCTAAGGCGCAGTGTTGACCTCGCTGTGGGCTCAGCAGGGGGACCCGGCTTCCCTGGGTTGCCCAGACCACAGTGCTGGGGTATGGTTTTTGAGGGGCAGACCCAGGGCTCCTCCCCACTGAGGCCCCTGCCCACAGCCAGTTGGGACAGAGGAGGGAGTCCTGAGATCTCAGGAAGGTGCCTGGCTTGGCCCAAGACCCCTCTGTAGGGTCAGCTCCCAGGTACTGGGAAGGGACCAGGGGCACCCAGAAGCCAGCAGATGCTACAAGTGTCTCCCCCGCCCCCCACCACCGATAGTTTGTCCACAGCAAGATCCTTGGCAGGGCAGGCCGCCGCCGCCTCCCCACCCTGCAGGACAGAAATCCCTGAATAGTGGTTTGAGAAAAGTCTTTGTGCAGCTTGTGACACAAGACCCCCCAAAGCCCCCCAACACAGGGGGAAGACAGGGGACATGGGGGGCAGGGGCACAGTGTGGCCCACCTCACCCCAAGCTTGGCCTCCATGCCTCACTTTTGGGGCAGGGGGTTGTCTAAGATGGGAGGAGGTCTGGAAAGAGTGGAACAAGGCCCGGGATTGCTTTCCTCCTCGAAGCTCCTGAGGAAGGAGCCCTCCACCTTGGGTGGCAGAATCGGGTATGGGGCAAGGTGGCGGGAAGGACCCTGTAGGGTAGGCGGCCACCCAGCACGGAGCAAAGCTGCAGGGGCAGGGAGTACAAAATCCACGTCGGCCGGCCTGCGTCAGTGTGAGGGGGGTCCCAGCCATGTCCCCCCCAGAGCCCACCCCCACCCCCAGGGGACGGCGCCTCTACGCGATCTCTTTGATTCTGCGCATGTAATTGTGCAGGTCTGGGGGTGCCGTGGGCCGCGTGGTGCCCGCCACATCCGGGCAGCCCCAACCCAGTTCCTCTTCGTCCTCCTCGTCCTCCTCGCCGGCGGGCACCGAGTCATAGGCCAGCTCCTCCGTGGGCAGCGTGGTGAAGGTGGTAAACTTGACCCGTTTGCGCTTGGAGGTGGGCGAGCTGGCAGGGTCCTCGGCCTGGTCGCGGGCCGAGCCGCCCGAGGAGCCGTCGCCCCGCCCGTGCACCTGGCTCTGCACGCTGGTCTGCGAGCTGCCGCTGCTGTGGTGGTCGCCGTGGCAGCAGGCAGGCACGGTCTCCAGCGGGTTGCCCGCAGGCGGAGACAGCTCTCCCTGCACCCGCAGGGGCTGCCCGTTGCCTAGGAACACCCAGTGGTGAGAGTGGTCCATGCTGGTCTGGCCCTCGGGCGGGATGCGCTTGTGCCGGTAGCGCAGCACGAAGACGATGCAGTTGATGAGGAAGACGAGGATGGCGAGGCAGAAGACGCCCAGCAGCGCGTACATGCCGATCTCCAGGTCCGTCAGCCCGCGCGGCATCTGCAGGAAGCCGGTGGGCAGCGGCAGGAAGTCTTCCGTGGGCGGCACGGCGCTGGCAGTGCCCGGGCCTGGGGCCTCAGCTGCTGGCATCACTGTGCCCGGGGGGCCGGCTCCCCGGGCCTCGTCCTCACCCCCGCCGGGGCCTGGCTGGCTGGGCCCCGGGTAGTCGTAAGTGGGGTCCTCCTCGTCCCGCCCAAAGTGCACCCGCAGGCCCACGGGGGTCGTGGCCAGCACACTCTTGCGTTTGGTTTTCTGGCAGCTCTCGGCAATGGTGAGCTCTGCGCGCAGCAGATCCCCGGCACCCTCGGCCTCCGCCACCACCAGCGGGAAGGCCCGGTCCTGGGTCACCGTAGCCACCCGCTCGTCCAGGCTGCTAACCAGCAGCCCATAGTCCCGGGGGCTGTAGAGGGAGAGGGGGGCTGTGGTGCCATCACTGTAGGAAAGCCAGAGGCTTAGAAGGGCTTCCTGGAGGAGAAAGAAGGGGACGGGAGTCAGAGAGCTAGTCCTGGCTGGCTTCCCTGCTAGGTGCTGGGCAGATGCTGAGGTCTCTGAGGACAGGGACTGTGGTACTTTGGGTCCCAGCTGTATCCCCAGCCCTGGAACTGTTCCTGGCAGGTGGCAGGGCTTAGGAAGAACTGTGGGAGCAAGAAGTCCTCCTCTGGAGGTTGTGGGCAGGTAAGGGGCATGTTACTGCCCTAAGAATTTCCTTGTCCAGTCATCTTTCTCCCCTTGATAAGCTGAACGTATGTTCTGCCTTGGGTCGACCTTGAGCCCCCTTTGTTGCAGGAGTAACCCCACATCTCCATGTCTGACCTTGGGATCATCCCCATTAGACATGTGGAGACTGAGAACACATATGCCATCCCAGCCTTCTCCTCTGTTAAAACACTCTGAGAATTGCCTTCCCTGTGGAGGAGGAAGCAGGGCCCTGAGAGAAGGGATTGGCCTGGGGTCACGGAGCAAGTTAGGGGCAGGGGGACTCCAGGCTCAGTGCTCGACACCTGCCTTCTTGCTCCCTGTGCTCCTGCCTGTCACCTTTCTGCCTCTGTCCTGCGCCCCGGTGCATCTGTTGGGGGCTGCAGCTGGGGCTCTAGATATGGGTGAGGGTAATTCCTAGGGGTGGAGGCAGAGGTGATGGGCTGTCTGAGAATCCAGGAGGGGGAGCCCTCAGCAGGAACATCTCGGGGTGGCAGGTGCCAGAAGCGAGATCTTGGCTGGACTCCCTGTGCAGATGGCAGGGGAACGGGGTGGGCCAGGTGTGCTGGGCACCAATAGTGGACAGATCTTCCATTAAAGCCTGAATCTGGGGGGCTCATGGCACAAGGACAAACTGGAATTGCCTTCATCCTTTCACACGGCAAGCCCCCCGGTTAGCAGGCTGGGCACCCGGTTACCTGCTTGAGGAAGCTGAGGGTCTGCTGGGCAGCCGTGGTGGCCAGGATGGTGTGACTGCTCCCTGGGCTGGGCCGCAGGGAGAGGGCGAGGCTGGCCACCACCTGGGCCTGCAGCTGTGTGATGCTGACCTTCTCCTCCGTCACTGTTAGCAGCGTCTCCCCAAGCACAGACTCCGTCAGTGGGGACACCACCTGAGACAGAGTGGAGCAGGGGTGGGCCAAGGCCAGGAAAGCAGCATCCCCAAGATTCCCAGACATAAAGGAATCCCAGTGTTGCTGGAAGAGAGGGCCAGAGCACGGGGTCGGGGTGGGCAGGCTGGGAGGCTGGACTCTTGGGCCCTGCTCTAGGGCTACAGCTGGGAGCCAGGGTCCAGAGGCCAAGTGAGGTTCAGGGGCTTGCAGGAGCCAGGCAGGAACACAGATGAGAGAGGTGGGCAGATTCTAGGGTAAAAAATAGCCCCCCACACTGATAAATAGCGATTGATCTTGGGGATATAAAAGGGAGTGGTGGGGACTGTGGCAAACAGAACTTGTGCTCATGCAGTATTGACTCCATCCAGTTAGTGCCAAGTGGGAATGCAGGCCCAGGGTTGCCAGATTCATTGTCTGTAAAACCGGAAGTCTAGATCTTTAAAAACAAGAGAGCCCCCAATGTTTCAGTGATGAATCAGCCACTTTACAGATAAATGCAACTGGAGGCGGCTTGTAGCCCGTGGGTCACACTATTCACCATCTCTTAGAGGGCAGATTTCTACCCAGGCACCCAGCTGTAGAGGAGGAGGGTCAGACTTGAGTTCCTAGGTCCCCAAATTCCCTTTTCTGAGCCCCCTCTCCTCACCCAAACCTGCTCTCAGGGACCACACCGAGCCATACGGGGTTGGTAAAGGTCGCCGGGTCTTGCAGGGAGATTGTCTTCCAAGGAGAAGTGAGAGGATCTTAACCTCTGACAGTGGGGTTTCAGGAGGTGGGGGGAGCAGGGCTCGGGGCAGCGAGTGTGTTTTGGGGGCCTGCCGGGGTTGATCCCAGGGACAGAATCCCTGTCCCTCCTGGGACGTCTGTGTTTTCTGCCCGCACAGTGCCCCTGTGCCTACCTTGAAGGGGGTGGTGCCCGGCTCCAGGCCCGCCAGCGTGCTGCTGTCCACCATGCGTGCCACTCGGGGGTCCCCCACCCGCATGAAGTCGCTGACCAGGTCAGTGACCTCCACCAGCCAGTCCGGGCCCAGCATGGGGACCACCTGGTCGGCGCCCTCGGACGATGTTGTGTGGAACTGCGTGAAGACCTGCAGAGTAGCGTGCTGATACTGCAAGGCGCAGCCGCGGCTGGCGCTCGGCCGCCGCTCCTCCTCCTCCTCGTCCTCGTCCTCACTCTCCCGGGCCGACCTGGAGTGGGGAGGCCAGGGGTCAGGGCTCCTCACCGGCCTCCGACCTACACAAGTCACTCCCTCACCCGTGCGGGCTGCGGGCTCCGCCCCGGCTCCCGACCCCGGCCCCACTCCTTCTGTCTCTGACCAGCCGGGAGCCAGGTGTCCCCAGCCTTTTCTCTCCCAGAAAGGTAACTTCCTGCCCCTCCCTTGGCACCCTCGGCCTCTGTGGGTCTTCACCCATGCCTGGAAATCAGCGGCGTCGGACCCTGTCAAGTGCGGTCTTTTTCTCAGCACTGAGCACATGCCTGGCCCTGTTCTCTGCTCTCAACTGGGGCGAAGGCACTCCTTGCTCAGAGCGCCAGACTGCTCGGCTGGGGGTGCCCTGACAGCTGGGTGCGAATAGAACCTGGAAGGGATGAACTTGGAGATTTGGCTGAGATTCCAAGCAGCATGTGGAATGTGTGGCCTGGTTCCTCCTGCTGCTTCTAGGAAAACCCAAGAGGAGAGAGGTAAACTGAGCCAAGCACCAGGAAGCAAAAGGGAGGCAGGACTGGATGAATCGGGAAATTCAGCCTATCCAGGTTGCCGAAGATGTTAAAACCAGGAGATTCGCGGTCCGGAGAGCACGCTCTTGAGAGAGTGAGCCAAGGACATGGTTAGCGTTTTGCTACTGCTGTGGAAAAGAAACCAGAATATCCATCCACAGAGGGCTCTCTCACCTGGGCTGACTCATCCTCACCACCATGCTGAGGTACATGCTAATGTGCCCATTTTGCAGACGAAGAAATGGGGCGTACAGAGAGTCTGTGTTACGTAGTCCAAGGTTGCCCAGCTAGGAAACGGCAATCAGGATTTAAACCCAGCCTATCTCACTTCACAGTGCACTACGCCCTTGTGAACTCAAAGCCAGCCCGGGAGCTGGTCCTGGGGCAGAATCACAGACCCCCTCCCAAACCCACTGGGTCAGAATCGGCACTTTAACTGGCTCCTTGGGCGACCACGTGCACATTCAAGTTTGAGAGGCTCTGATCCACACTGCCTGGCTCTTCCTGATCTCTGCATAATTGAATTGAGCCCAGCTCTTCCTTGAACACCACTTCTCCCCCAGCCCAGCCCCTCCCCACTTCGCTGCCCACCCCTCTTCCTCCCTCTGCCCTGCTGGCTCTTCCCTCCAGCAGCAGTGAGGGGTGAATGGAGTACATGCCCCTGAGATGCACACTCAGGTGCATGAGGTGCCCCCCAGTGAGGGATCCTGGTGTGAGTCACTGCATGGCTGGGCTGGTACACACGAGTGTGCCCTTGGCGTTCACAGGCTGAGGCACCCACATACAGGTTTTGTCTTTGGCCTGGCTGCTCTCTCACCCTGTCTTCCCAGCCAACTCCTTTCCACTCATTCTTTAAAACTTAGCCAAGAGTCATCTCTTTCAGGAAGCCTGCCTTGACTTATCCCAGAGGAAGAGATGGTTCTCTCCTCTGTGCCCCTTGATTCCCCACACAGAGGGCTTCCTGTGTCCACCATGTCCTGTGGCATGTACAGGACAGCCTCCCTGCTGGACCCAGACCATGGCTGGGTCAGGCACTGGTCACAGTCACCCCATGTCTCAAGCACCCATCAGTGCCCGGCACACAGTAGCTGCTCAGTAAATGTTTGTTGACTGCCTAACCGACCAGCAGCCTGTGTACACCCGGGGCCTCATACACATACGTGGATCAGACCCCATGCCAGGGCCGTGTCCACCTGTGAATATCCCGAGTATCCAGTGTGTGGAAGGGCTGTACCTCCGGTCGGGGAGGATAGGCACCCTCCAGCCCTTCACTTGGCTGAGGTGTGCATCCGAGAGCTCGATGTGCAGGGGCAGCTTGGGGACCCAGACTGTCATTTCCAGAGGGGCATTGAGGATGTCATAGCGGAAGGTGACCCTGGCGTTCATGGACCCACGCGACTCCTTTCCACTCACAAACACGTAGTCGCAGCTGCTGGATACCTGGGGAGGGGGAAAGAGGGAGGTGTTAGCTTTGGGTGTCCCTGTTCCCATTATTTCTTCACAGATCATCATCTCTCAGTGGCTACTCTGGGAGGTTTTTGCTCCCTGGCAAGGGGTGAACATGCACCTGCCTTTACAGGAGGCTGCTTCTGATGGGGCACACCACACCTCAGAGGAGCATTAAGGCTGAGGGACCCCAAGCTGGCTCCCCTTCCCAACATGACTTCTTGTGCCCTGGCGTGGGTGTCTTTTGGTGGCGTACTCCACGGTAGAGAGGGATGTGTCCTGAACTCATGATTCCCCCCTGGTCCCCCTGGCCCTGCGGCCACCGGAAAATAAGCAGCTGGTTAATTTCTGAGGCAGGGACTGTTCTAGCCAGGGGTGGAGGTAGGGGATGGAGAGAGGAAAAATCAGAACAGACAGGTGTCTGGCTGCCACCAGTGGGTACAGCTTGTACAAATGCATGCCCACCAGGACCCCGACTTACATTCTCAGAGGCTCCTTGGGTGGGCACGTGCCTGCCGAACACATCTCGGGAGACACCTGTGCCAGTCCGCAGGACAGATATGGGTGGGTGTATACGTCAAGTGTGCCCCGTAGGTACCTGGCACACTCTGGAGTAAATCTCATGTGCAATGCGTTGGGGTGTTCCTGCTGGTACACGCCCATGAGTGCACACCCTCGCATTTGGGGAGGATCTGATCATGTGGCTGGTGGGCTCATGACATTCTGAAGACTCTGCTGGGGGCCAGGGAGGGTGCCAGGACTCTGGCTCATCTCTCACGAGCCCCTGGCTGTTCGCAAACTCCTGCTAGCTCCCTTAATCATCTCAGGTGGGGGTGGTAGGACGTGGGACAGCAGCCCCGCCAGAAATGCTCATATCCCACTTCAGAAGGCAGAGAACTCCATCTGAAGGCTGGCAAATTCCACCCTGAGTGCTGGCAAACTCCATAAAGAACCCGAGTGTATTTCCATTGAGAGTGGAAACAAATTCCATTTCGAATCCTTGTGAATTCCCTTTGGTATCTAAGCAGTCAAGACTTTGTTCTGGTCCACTCTGCAGCGGAGTGGCAGAGCCTGGGGGACAGAGGCAGGATGAAGGCCTTTGCGAGCAGGTCCGTTTTTCTCCTGTCCCAGCCTGCCAGCCCTGGAAAGTCCCACGGGCCTGGGCAAGGTTTCTACTCCCCAGGCACCGAGCCATCTGCTCCTGCTCATTCAGGGTGAGGGGGCATTCTTCCTGGATGCGGGAGGGATGAGATGAGGCTCCAGCTCCCCAGAGCTGGGGGGATCTGGGGCAGAGTGTGGAGAGACAGAGCATACACACTCTAGCCCCAGTTAGCCAGAGGGAGAAGGACACCCACGGCCCACTCCTCCTGCTCTCCTTCAGCCTGAGCTATTTACAGGCTCAGGGAACAGATTCCCTTTCCTGATCATCTGATTTGGGCACCTGCTGGAGGCTGGCCCGATAAACAGCTCACCCACCACACCGACACCAGGACTGCCACTCTCCTGCATCACTGCCTGTCCCACTGCCTGTGACTGCTGTCGGAAGAGGTAAATCTGGAGGCCCTCCTGGGGAGGTGGCAAACTAGGTGGGTCCTTTGAGTCAGACGGCTGTCCTGTTTGTCAGGCTGTGAGGACCTGGGGCCCGGAGTGGGTCTCTGCGGAGAGAGCTGTGGGAGGGGCCTGTAGGAGTTGGAGGATTTGAGGGGGGGGGTGGGCCCTGAGCAGGTCCTTCCTTATATAACCTTAACTCACATGCTTCTGGGGCTTCATCTCCGAGCTGAATCTCCTCCATTCGGGCACCAGCACTGGGTTCAGGGCGCATCCTCAAGAGGCCCCCTTTCCAACCCTTGTTGCCTTGCCCGGTGTCTGTCCGGGCAGGGGCTCAGTCATCACTTGATGTGTTGGATTGAGCTCAGGCTGTCTGCCTGCTCCCCTCTGCCTGCCAGATGGTCTCTTTCATATTCCTGCAGGAAGCCCTCCAGGACCAGCAGTACCCGGGCTTTTCTTCACCCCCACTAGTCACGGATGCCTGAAGCTATTCCTGCCACCTCCCCCCCACCCCCCAGTTTCTCCTCCTCTTGCCTGCCACGGGGAGCTGCTTGGGATGCGAATTCCCCTTTGGCTTGGGTTTCTGCTCCCCCTGAAGGTCTGAGGCCCTTTTCCCAGGGGGCCCCCATCTCCAGGAAACCCACCTTGATGATGTCCTCATTGTCAGATTCACATTCCACTAGGGCAGAGACATCTAGGACGAGACCAGTCACCTCGATGGCGATGACCTTGACCGGGATGGCCACCGTCCTGCCCGTCAGGATAGCCGTGTTGATGATTTCGGTGTCCTGCAGGGAGGGTGGGGCCCTGCTGAGCGAGGGGCACCTGTGTTCCTCCACTCTCCCAGGACACGCCAGCCAAGCCCAGGCTCCTGACTACCCTACCCCTCAGTTGCACGGCCTTCCCCTGGGGACCCCTGCACACATATGCGCAGAGGTGCAGCTGTCCAGTTTCACTCATCTCAGATGCTCTGCTTGCTTGGCCTCCTGCTGTAGCCTTCTGGTCTACCTCCCTCCACTGCCATGAAATAGCCCTTCCCTGGTCCCCCAACCACCTTCTCTTTGAAAACTTATATGCCTCTCAGAGTCACATCCAACACATCTGCCTGGCCATTCCAGGTGCCCCCGGGCTGGCCCAGTGTCCCTCCGGCCATTGCAGGTGCCCTGGGCTGTTTGGAGACAATCACTCCAGCCTCACCACCTCATGGCACCCTTCCCACATGCACTGCACCTTATGACAGACTACTCCCATTCCCATCCCCACACCTTTGCCCACGGGATCCCTGCCTAGAGCACCCTCCTCACCATCTCTGATTGTATGAGCCCTTCCTTCCACCTGTCCTTCAAGGCTCAACTGCACGACCCCCTCCTCCAGGAGGCCTCTCCTGAGTGGCCTCTCCATGGGTGACTTTTCCCACCTCTGGCTCCCTGAGCATCTGCGGTCCTACTCCAGTACCAGGCACAGAGTGCCGCCTGCTTCCAGTGAGTGTGCGCACGCACGCGCGCGCGCGCACACACACACACACACACCCCTCCACTCACAGGCACGCCTGGGTGCAGGAGACAGTCACACACTTGGGCGCAGGCCCCCGCGTACACATGCACTGATCCATACGCATGCTCAGCCGGGCACACGTTGGTCACGCACAGGCACCCATGACAAACACACGCGTCCACGGACCCGGCCGCCGCCCCACTCACCATGGCCAGGGGCAGGATGGCCTGCACATCCCGCTGGATGACCGTCAGCTCGGTGACCGCCCGCTCCAGGTCAGGCAGGGCGCTGTGGCCACGGTAGTCGACGTGCCACATGATTCTCCTCTTGACTGACTGGCTGGTGAAGTTCTCCATCTCAAAGTCCAGCTGCAGGATCTCCAGCGGCCCCTGGCCTTCCCTGCAGGGTCAGGGTGGGAAGCATAGCCCGGGAGGAAGGGCTACGAGCAGCCCAGAAGCTCTGAAACCCCTGGTGGGCACCCCCCAGCCCTCCTTGGCAGCCTGCCAGCTGGGGCCTTCGAGCCTTCTCCGGTCACCCCAGGTGCCCCAGCCTGGACCTAGAGTCCCCAGCACCAGAGCACCGGCCCTCCTGCCAGCCTGGCTTCCTCCATCAAGGGTCCCCCCACCCCTTCTCGGTGCCGTCCAGCAAGGAGGTGGGCAGGGGTGCTTACCAGGGGGGCAGCGGGGTGCCCTGGGCCCAGGCCACATCCACGGTGGCTGTTGAGTGCTTTGCCCCAGTCAGCAGCTCCGAGGTCACGTGCCACTGGCCGCTCCGTGACTTGGTGCCCAGAAGAGTCACACCCTTCTTGGCCTTCACCCTGGGACAACGTGGAAAAAAGGAAAGGGAGACAGTCAGCCTAGGGCCCAGTGACTGCCTGCCTGGCCAATCCCGCCCCCCAACCCCAGGATGGGGCTGGGAGTAGGGGGAGCAGGTGAGTAATTCACCCCAGTAAATTATCCTGGACTCAATGCTGGCGATGAACCTGGGGAATCTGGTATCATGTAGCTGAAACCTCCAACCCTCCGTGGAGGCTTCAATCACTTCTACCATATCTCTCTGCCAAGCTTTTAACAAGCCTCTACTTGCATACCTCAGTGACAGGAGACTCACTACTGCACACATCCCATTCCGTTCTTAGAAAGCCCCTAAGGACTAGAAACCCCTTTCCTACATTTAGCTGAAGTATAACAGTCATGGGTTCTGCCCGGGCCAGAAAGAACAACTCTCCTTCATTTCAACTGTAACAGTTCTTCAGACAGTGGGAGGGGGGCAGGTGTTCCATGAGTCTTCTTTGTTACTTTTTGCCATAGCTTCAAGTTAACCCTTGCAGTTAGGGTTCAACCCTTGCAACTAGGTCTAGTCACCCTCCTCTGGACACTAAACACATGGGCATTGTGGCCTATACGAAATACAACACTTCAGCTGTGCTCTGATTAATACTGACTAAAGAAGAACAGTGACCACCTCCTGAATTCTACATATTCTACTCCTGTTAATGCAGCCCAAGATCTGTGATGACTGATTTAAATCATATTCACATTCATGTATCAATAAATCAGGTCTATCCCTCCCAGGAATATCTGAACTTTAAGAAGGCAAGATTTAACTCAAAGAAGTTGGAGGTCAATGGCAATGTTTTGGGTCCTATGCATAATGCCTGGGGTGGGGGAGATATTTTGGTGGGGCCCTTGATACGACCGACTTAAAGTATTTCTGAATTTGTGAACTGTATCCTGTTCAGGGTGTAGAAAAGGCTGGGACTCCTGGAAATTTTTTCTCCCAACTCCAGGATTGGGCAAATGTCCTGACACACGGACAGGCTACTGCTCATCTTTTGGCTCCCAGCCAATGGGCTGCTCTCTCATCTCCATTTCTTCTCTTTGGCCTTGGTCTCCTCACCTAAAATGAGAGAGTTGCACTAGCTAACATCTATGGGCCCTTCCAACCCCATTCTCTCATTCTTGATACCTATGCTTATGAAAACTGACAGTTCTCCTTGACCGTTTCCCTGAGCTACAGAGGTCAGAGGTCGGGCAGAAATTTTTGCTGTCATTAAGCCAGTGAAAACACAGACTCAGGTAAATAAGGTGTCTTCTTGAAGTTGCTCAAGTGATAAATGGAAGAGGATGCTGGCCAGGCAGGCAGGCAGGCAGGGGCTCGCCCCTACAAGGCAGTGAGCTATGCACTTGACCTCTGAAGGGAAGGCAGACCCCCCCCAACCCACCAGCCCCCTACCTGAGTGTGAAATGCTCCACGCTGGGGCTGGAGGGAGAGGAGGAGTTGGGGGCCAGGTAGAGGAGAATGCTGAGCACCTCCCCAGGCTTGAGGGGCCGATCGGGCAGGCGGATCATCAGGTTGCTGTCCAGCCGGTGCTCCTGCAGGGCCCTCCTGGGGGGCGGGCGGAACAGGCTGATGCTCCCGATGCGCAGCAAGGGGTGCTGGGTGGGGCTCTCGGCGCGGGCGCCGGTCCCCGGCCCGGCTCCCTGACGTGCGCCCCCGCAGCCGCCCGACGCGTCGGGGGCATGGAGGGTGTAGTAGAGTTCGGCCTGCTGACTCTCCCCCGTGGCCTCCGGGTCTAGCCCGTCCGGAGACTTGCGCCGGGTGGTGGGCGGCGCGGCAGGGGCGGGGGGTCCGAACCAGGCCAAGGGCAGCTCGGCCCGCACCAGGCAGGTGGCCAGGCCCCCGCTGAGGCGGCAGGAGCTCTTGACCTCCCGGGCGTCCCGGAAGGCGTGCAGGCGGACACAGGGCAGTCGCTCGGTGACGCCAAAGTCGTCCCAGTCGCGGCCAGCCACATAGAACAGCACCTGGGCCACCGGCTGCGAGGCAGGCACGCGGGCGCGGACGATGAAGGCTCGCACCTTCCAGTTGACGGTCAGGCGCTCAGGGATGTCCAGGGTGCTGGATGGCTGCAGCAGCTCCCGGGCCACCACCTGGCTGGTGCTGAAGGGCCCCAGGGAGACGTTGAGGACGGGCAGCTCCTTGGTCTGGAACACCACGAAGGGCTCCGAGCGCTGAAGGGAGCCGTTGGCGACCGCAGGCGGCGGGGGCCGCGCGTCCCGCAGGAAGAAGGCCAGCCGAGTCCGCGACAGGCGGTAGCTGACCGGCAGCACGGGGCTGGCCTGCGGCCCCGGGGGGCTAGGGCTGGCTGGGTGGGAGCGGCCGGAGGCTGGAGACAGACAGAGGCAAGAGCCCGGAGGGGTCAGCGGAGGCTGGGCTGGGACTTCTGGGCACCCCAGCCTCCCACCCCCGCGGGGGGCGTCAGCTTCAACCCCGCTTCCCCCTTCACCACTGCCTCTTTTGCCCCAGCATGGGGGCGGGGGTAGGCCTGATAGCATCGCAAAGCATGGTGAAGCTTTAGAGGCTTTCTTGCCTGGCATCCTCATCTGTAAAATGAGGATAAAATGGGCTTCTGCCTGGAAATGTGGTTGTGAAGATTTACCAGTAGTGTGCACAAAGGGCTGCGAGCGGAGTGTGGCCCTGGGAAGGCGGGGGCTCTGGGGGTTACAAGCTACTCAGCACTCCGCAGGCATTGGCCTGTTTAATGCTCAGATGGACCCTCCCAGCCAGGTATTCTACCATCTCCTTGGATTTGATCTGTTTTCTATAAATAATTTCTCTTTTTTTGAGAGCCTGTTCTTGTATCTCACAGGTCAAGGTGTGGAATGCTTAAGCAACTTACCCAAGTCACCTGAGCGACAGGGGCCAGGAGTATGATTTGAACCCCGGGGCCACCTGACTCTCAAAGCCAAGGCCGTTCCTGCCCCAACTGCCGAAGAGGGTGCAGGGCCCCCAGAGATCCCTTATTTCCTACTCCTCCCCCCACCCCATGCGCTATACACTCAGGGAATTTGACCCCAGTCTCCCAAACACAACGTGGGCCTTGGGTCTGACGTCTCTGGTCCCCATATCTGTGCAGAACCCTGCCAAATTCTAGCAATTCCACTTGTTGACTCTGGGGTGTGTCCCAAGCTGTCCTCGTCCTCCATCCCTGGAACCCTGCCCCAATTCTGGCATGGATGCTGTTGCTAGGACAACGACACATGGCATGACTGGGTCTCCCCTCTCCCCGTAATCGTCTCTCCGGCATCCCTTCCCTCCACAGCAGCGGAGTGATGTGCTCGTTCTGGACACAGATGGGAGTTGTGGGCCCCTCACCGCCGGCCCAACTCCCGCTGGAGACTGTCAAGGAATAGGAAGGACCAACATGTAGGGGTTCGAGGTTTGAGAAGCAGTTCTGGATCTTGCCATGGACCCCTGAGTCACTTTCCTCATATTTAAAATCAGGGTAATAATAACAATGCTGATCTTGAAGGATGTGGTGCTGACACTGTTCTGTTTTCGAGAATCAAGTAAGAAAGCACTCTATAAATTAGGCAATGCCACGTCACTGTCTGTAAATATTAGGAAATAATCTCTCCCTTTTGCTTACAAAACAAACTCCAAACTCACCTTGAGCTGGACTGTGACCTTCTACAACGGGGTTTCAGGCTCCCCTTTCTCCACTGTTCCCCCCAAGTTCCCACTGCCAACGTGACCGGACACCTTCTGGCTTTAGAACTCGCCAATGCCATCTTATCTCCCCTCCTTGGTCCTGCCATGCCCTCTAAGTCAAATTCACTCCTTTCCTAATTGTATACATCCAGATAGGAATCTTCCTCCACGGTCCAGCGCCAATGCCACCTCCTCCGTGAAGTCCTCCAAGATATGACCTCAATTCCTGGGATGTTCCTTCTCTGAGGGAACCTCTCATCTTGTCTTGTGTGGAAGTTAGTTATCTATGAAGCTGTGCACTGAGCAAGCCTTCCACAAAGTGTGGCTGATTGGTGGGGACCCGCGTCGCAAGGAGACTCCCAATCAACGCTATAGTGGTTACTTGAAGTTTATGCACATTTGTCATTTTATCACCGTCAAAGAAACCTTGACAGTTCTACAAACCTTCCCAGCCAATTCTTCATAAAGGCAATGGACTAAAAATTCCCAGCTCTGGAGACTCTGGTGGCTCTGGTGTTTATGTCCTATTGTTTTTTGTTTTTTGTTTTTTTTTTTTTTTAAATCTGTGGTTTAATTTCCTCATTCAGAAAAAACAGCATTTGGCTTGGGGCAGGGCATAGGCCCTTGGAGTCAGGTGCTCTAAGAGGAGTGGCACCTGGTCTCATGCACCTGCTCAGGGCTCTCTCTGAGTGGCCCTTGGGACCAGCTGGGGAAACTGCCCATGGGAGTGCGGCCCATGCTTTAACCACCAGACTGCTTCTTCCATTCCCAGGAGAACTCTGTTCCTGGGCCACCTTTCCCCCTGGATGCTCTGCACCCTGTGGGGTAACGCCGGCTGCCATTGGTGGGCTAGAGGTGGGTAGCTGAGTTCAAGAGGAGGACAGGAAGATGCCTGGAGAGATGGGGAGAGCCTTCCTGGCAGGAATCCCTGCCCCACAGTTACTCCAGGAGTCTCTGACCCTCGCCATTGTTGGGAGGCTGGCCCAAGTCACACATTTGGGGTCCAGGACAACAATCTGAGCCAGGGCACAAGGAGCCAGCCAATTGCTTTGGAAGCAGCGAGAAGCAGGCAAACAAAGATTTCAAGACTCAAGTTCAAGTTTCTCCCTGTGACACTCGTTGGCAAATTACTTCCCATGTTGGGCCTTGGTTCCCACATCTAAAATTGAGATGGTGATATCGGCCCCCTCATAGGGATGCTGAGAGTAGATAAGAGGCCAAGGGGACGGAGGAGGGCACTGCTCTGGGTGGCGGGATGGCCAGGGCTGGGATGGGGAGGGGTGGCCATGCCTGTCCCGCTGGGGTTGTGGAAGGGCGGCTGCCATAGCTGTAAGCGCTCCCTATCCAGGCCGGGTGGGGCTGCAGAGATCATAACCACTGTCCCTGCCTTGCTTACTGTCCCTGGAAGATCCCAGACGCTGCTAAATGGCACTTAGTCCCCTCTGACCCTCTCACTGTCCCAAGCTCCCTGTGGGCCATCTGGACCCCTGGGAGGCACGGCGCGGGCAGAAGCCACCAGATGGGCAGCAGATGGGGGCATGGAGGAGGGGACTGGAGACCATGTTTGCATGCACCCCTCTGCCCTCAGTGGATTTTTGGTGAATGAATGGAGTTCTCTGAAGGAGCTGCCCATGGACTGGGGTGCCTTGTGGGGTAGGAGTGTCTCCTGCAGCATCCCAGGGGACACTAGGTGGCACTGAGGGAGAGGGGTCCCGATGCTGGGCAGCAGCGGATAAGGAGGCTGAGTTTCTGAAAGGGGAAGCAATCTGTGTTAAAAAAACCAGCTTGCTTTCAGACGGGGGAACCAGAAAAGACAGTGTTAGGGCGCTACAGTGTCTGTATTTATGTCGTCGTGACACACGACAGCCCTTCCAGTCACCACCGTGAGTCATTCTATCTTCCGGGGCCCTGAGCCTCCTCTGTGGGGGCGGTGAGTGCTTCTGAGACTCCAGCAGTAACCCCCGGTCTCCTGGGCTCACTGACTCTGCAGCCTGAAGGAAGCTGCTCGATCTCTCTGGGCCTCAGTTTCCCCAGGGCTGTGGGAAAGGCTCTGGAAGTGTTCTGGGGGTGGCAGGGGCCGAAGGGGAGACCTGTGGAGCCATCGGCAGACAGATCAGGTTTTCAGGGATGCTCTGTGGGAAGGTGTGTGCATGCTTGTGTGTGTGTGTGTGTGTGTGTGTGTGTGTGTGTGCAAGTGTGCACGCTGGCCTGCATCTCAGCCTGGAGCAGGCCCAGCCTGAGGACGGAAGAGCTGCTGGACAGTTTCCTGAAGGACCGCGGGTGGGGGAGAAGATCTACACAGATCTGAGGTTGGGGAGCTCGGGGTAGGGGGTGCGAGAGGTGCTGTAGGGGTGTGAGTGGTGGACAGCCTGGACCCCCAACAGAGGGGCAGCTGCTCCCATGGGCTGGCGCACACCTGCCCCTAGCTGGTCTTCAGGCTTGGCCCCTCTCCCTGCTCCCCTTGCTCCCCAGATCACTTGCCCTCCAGACCCCTACTTCCTGCTCTCGTGTTCTGGACCAGCTCGTCCTGAGGACCAGGCTTGACCCTGTCTTCCTGTCCCGCCTCAGCTCCCCTTGGAGTGGCCTCCCTGCTGGAGCGGCAACCGGGCTCTTCTCTGTGTACACAGCCTCGGGCCTCCTGAGGCATTTGGGCCTGGCCCCGGGATCCTCTCCTTCTCACAGAAAGGGCTTCTTCACATCCTCTCGTGCACATGAGGGGTGTTATGAGTTAAATCGTGACCCCCCACCCCAACTCATTCATGAAAGGCCGGACCCCCCAGGAGCTCAGAATGTGGCTGTGTTTGGAGACATGGCCTGCAAAGAGGTGATGAGAGTAACATGAGGTCATTAGGGTGGGCCCCAATCTAGTGCGACTGGTGTCCTTACCAGCAGATGGGATCAAGACACAGATACCCAGAGGGAAGGCCTCGGGAAGACGCAGGGAGAAGGAGGTCCACTGCAGGGCAAGGAGGGAGGCCCAGGAGCAGTTCTCCCCACTGACCCTTTGGCCTCGGACTTCCAGCCCCGGCACTGAGAAGCAAGAGTCTGTCATTTTAGCCCCCCAGCCTGTGGTGCTATGCGAGGGCCGCCCAAGCAGACTCACACAGGGGATTGGCTATGTGTGCCCCTCATAGCCTCAGTCTCCCCAGTAGGGAGTGGAGACACCTAACCGGGGATGAAGATGGGCTGGGAGAGTGCACAGGGATAAGGATGGCAGCCAAGGCACTCCTAGCCCCTTCCTGACGCCACACCTAGCATGTGACCCTTTCCCACTGAGTTGACCCCGGCAGGTACACCCAGCTCTTCACAGCGGGGTATCTCAGAGGGGGGTGTCTGTGGGTGCCACAGCCTGTACTCCCATCCCTCCCTGCCCAGCCCCTTGAGGAACACCAACCCAGGGCTGCTTCTGGGTTATGCTCCCCTGAGAGGCAGTGGCTTTCATCGTTCCTTTCTTGTTCCAGAAAGACATGATGGCATGAATAGAGGCTTCACTGGCCCTGTGTCCAAGGGCATTGGACTGGACCCACCAGCACCCAAGAGAAGAGGGCAGGAGATGAGGTGTGGGGTCCCCTCATCCTTCTGTGCCTGGTCCTGGCACCGCCTCTCACCACAGCCACCTGGATTGTGCTTCCTTACTTCTTGGCTCTGTCCAGCTCAGGCTCTGACTGACCTGGA